GGGTTTCATGCATATACAGGAAAAGTGAGACCAACGGAACATTCTGGGCATTGCTATCCATTATGCTCCCTTAAAGGACGGAAACATGATACTAATTTGCTGTATGGCACCTTAAAGTAGGGCTAACTGAATATTGGAGAAATCCGGTGGTATGAAAATGAATACGACTGCCTCTCGATCAACCTGAAAGTAATTCCGTGCTGTAATGATCCGAGTATTTAAAGCATAAGCAACGGCGCTTTGGAGAATTCCGCCAATTCTTGTAGTAAACAGCCATAAGCGTGAACCAAATCTTTTCGCGTGTCGTATGCACCAGAATGCCCGCGGTTGCCATAAACTTCTTGACCACATTGAATGCATTTTTGTGAACCGTTCTCAAAATCCTGGTTCAGTTTTTGCGTAGGAGTTGCTGAAACGATTTAGATGGGTTGCCCCAGTTACTACAGACTCGGAAACTGGGTGAAGGACACGTAGTATATTTGCGGTTTACAAAAGTTATTGGGTGCTGGCGCCATAATTAACAGCCTATTCAGCTGACAGGTACAGCTATTCTCGTGATATTCGATATACAGCTTGCTGCACACTATGTACGAAGAAATAGCCCTTTTAGAACCCAACTGGTATCTAATGATATTTTCATGATGAAACCCAAATTATGTATAAGTGAATTAATACGGCTAATATTGGGAGGGACTTCTGGAGAACTGTTTCTATGTGGATTATTATCTCGATGGATTACACTCGAACTTCCATGCTCTAGCTGGCCACCTGCAGCCTTGGCTTATAAAACAGGTAATCCAGCACAAAGTAACTCAACTTAAGGGCTGTTTTCCGATGTACACAGTGTGGAAAATCAAGCTACCTAATTCATACCATCTGCTGGTTTATGAGTAAATCACTTTTTCATCGTCAGGGAAACCATGTCAGTTCGCGATGCTTAGGTATAATTATTATCGTTGTAAGGTTATATCCGTCAACTCTGGAGATCGCCCTAGTCGTGATCAACGGTGGAGTGAAGCAGCATAAAAAATATGCGCACAAGATTGACCGAGTATATTGTACAGGTCAAGTGTCAAAAACAGATGACTGCACGAAATATCGAAATGCGAGATAGTTCTGAAAATAATTTTCAGCGTTAACATAATTTGCTTGCGTTCGAAAATTACATAAATTGTTAGGGGAAGTGCATTGAGATCTGCTCTAATCCTGGACTGTCTGGCTGCGTCAGCAAAACTAATGTTTAACATTACAACGCCTAAATGACTAATTTATGTCTCCATAGTGTAGAGCACCTTCCGTGGGGTTTTATCTGACCACATTCGTTATTGAATCATCAAGAAGGGTTTGCGTTCAATTTGATCCTAACAAGTGTTCACGAGTTAATGTTTCAGCCGTTCGGCCACACGGGGCAGCCGATATGTGTAGTGAGTGCTATCGACGAGTTTTGGCAATCACCACGTAATTTGTTAATTGAATCTTCCCGACAGAATAGGAAGTTATTTAGGAGTGTCGAACGAGGTTGTTTTCTAAATAAAAATGTGCTCAAGGTGGGTTGAATTTCAGTCAGCGAATTTTATCAGTTGCAATATGGCGCTTAGCCCTTCTTCATACAACGTGGCTATACTCACGTCTCATTTCGGCATATCCTTCGTTTTATTTACTGGCAATTCCCTGTTAACTAGAGCAGGAAAAGCACTTTTAGTCACGCGTTTTTAGATACTGGTAATTTGTTCCACTTCCCTGCATAGCGGTTAAGATATAAATTGGATCTTAAGCTGGTTCGAGTCATCTCAATTTGCTATCGCTATCCTATCTATATTCCTTCTATTGTACGTAGGCGAAGGATGCAATACCATTTCACTCTCTGAAGGAAATACTCGTTTGCGGATGATATCATTCATGAACTTCTGGTTAATTTTAGTGTCATTAACCAGAGGGATTCTATGTTCATCTCACAGCTACGGTCGTAGTAGATACCAAGACCAGATTTTCGCATTAGGCGCTGTAAATTTTCTGGTGATATTCTATCACTTTTTCTCAGATTGGAGTATAGCAATGGGCAATATTGTAGTAGGGGACGAACACTGGTATAATACAGGTAGCTTTTGGATATATTTGATATGAAGGATTTTGGTTTTAACCCTCCTAGTTTACGGCCTTTTTTACAATCTACTGTAACTGTTCAGCGAAATTGAAGCCGCAAGATTAGTGTATCCCAAGGTCACGAATTTAAAACAGGTGGACAGTGCTTTGCCTTTTAGCATCCAAGATTTTGGTGCAATAAATAACCGCTAACATATGCTGCTGCATTTCTATGTTGTGAGTCCTATGCTATATTATTGTGTGCACGTTAATCCTCGTCGAGCACAACTTGTTGCTAGGCATTTGTGTGCCCTTGTCACACCCAGTGTTGACCGTGTGCCTGTAGCATATATCCCACTCGTCAATGACTTGGTCTTAGTCACTTGATCGAGGTTCTGTACACCCTCTATCCAGAATACACGTTTGCGGCTGCCAGCTGTTGCCTTTGCGTCTTTCAGCTACGAGCCATTAGTGCGTTCGCATGCTAGCTTTAGCTCCGCACGTGTAGACTTTAACTGTGTTACAAATCTAATTTTGTAAATTGCTCACCACAGGAAATTGAAGCGTAATTTGTATTGTATCATTTTCTTAGGATATCTGTTTAGCCGTAATACCCAGCTGATCTTAAACTTTTAGTACCCCAGAAACTTATGCCAACATCGCTCTTCAACAGTTTCAACATAGGGGATGCTCAGTCCGAATACTCAATTGCTTAAACTGTACAATCCGGCTAGATTCAGTGCTATACACTCTCTACCTTATCACGAATATCTTAGGGAACAACGCCAACTGTTCACAACATAAATGCCACCTGTGGTTTCAACAATACAAGTGAGGCGCATTTATTCAAATGATTTGCTCTGCACTGAACCAAACAATCCTGATACTTTTGCAGATTCTCAAATACCTGCGATCAGATATTCGGTAAGTACTTTATGCGGGTTAGACAATCAATTTCCTCGAGGCCAACTGTGTGTTCGGTCAGCGCTTTAGATAAGCATACACACATATGCTTGGTTGAAATGCGGTAAGAGATGGCTGAAGTAAATTACGACCAACACATTAATCATCTGTTCCGTATGAGATCACAATTTTAGGTTAATTTGAACTACGATGGTAGCCGTGATAAGGCAATCGGTCATTATAATGTAACTGCGGAACCGCTATTTATCTCAAAATGCACTGGTTGATCTTTCACCATGACAGACAAGACAAATGGACTTTCTGCCGTCATACTGTGATTAAAAATTTCTGTTTCATTCGTCCAATTACGTTAGAAGATCACTGTGATGTCGTTGGAAGTTCTATGTTGTTCATTCGCAAGCGATTTCAATTTGGAAAGACATACCTTCTGAATTTGACCTTATTTACAACAAAAACTGCGCAACAAAGGAAGTTGCTGACACTCAGTAGAGGCTAGGTGACGCTGACGGCAGTGATGGCGACGAAATTCTCCTGAGCTGCACTTGTTGAAGTGAGGTGTTTCCAGGTTGGATGGAAGACTTTGTTTACGGCTGATATATGGGAAATGTAGCTGGTTACTAAATGATGTTGGCATGCTGTAGGACTATAACACAGGCTTTTTCAAGTCATACAAGTTCCCTCTTCGGATGGGAGCCATTTTCCTGCGTGTGCTTCGACCGCACATATAATACATGCATGCCAAGTCATTACCTCATCGAACTTGTTACGTAGATCCTTTTAATGAACGCAATCAAAGGAGGACAATACGAGCTCGAGAGTAAAAATTATTTACGATCTCCAACGGCCATTGTCATATTGTGTTGCATTTGTCAATTTCTCTCAGCACATGTGGTTCCTAAAAAATTTGGTCAAGTGAAGAGTGCACAGATTGTGGGTCATTTTTCGATGTAATTGCAAGCTGTAGCAATGTCGCTAGCCCTGTTACAGAAGTGGTGGCCCAGTATTAGCTTTCCGCTACGACATCACCCTTGTTATTACCGCCATGAGCAAGTGTAGAACAAGGTAATACATAATTGAAATTTCCAAAGAGTTCACGGTTACGTAGTTGGCCGTTCAGTAGAACAGATTTAAAAGACGGAGGTGTTGGAATTAGATTTTCCAAAACTGATCCGAAACCACTCCAAGGTGAATTTATTGTAACCAATTGAAACTAGAACCGTGTTAAAGCCGTAAGGAAATATTAGTCACAAGCGTAAAGGAGTAACACCGAATTCAGCATGCAAAAAAGTGAGCGACTTGTTTCATACGCTGGCCAGGGCCTGTAGCACTTTGACTTTCAAAATTCATCACTTTGCAGAGGCATAAGCGATCAATAATAATCTCCCATAAATTCATAAAACTAGCCATGACATCCTGTATAAGAAAACGACAGACGCCTGTTTTAACCTGGGTCTTATCAGTGCTGTGGTTGTTCCTCGTACACTGCCGGGTTCCGAACCCATGAATTCCGGACGCCAACAGCTTGTGTCAGTAAGCCATAAGTGATGTCAAAAATGACAGTCACATGGACTTGCGAATGATTCCAAGTTGGAGAAAAATGAACAGCAAAATCTAAATGTTTTATACGGAAACACATACAATCACTCACTCCTAACCAGCATCAGCAGCACTTCTGGCGGAATAGTGGTGGATGGACTAGGCATGACCACTGACGGTATCAGCATTTGTATGTTTGTATGCTTACTGTTTTGCTTCTAGCTGAATACTTGGCACCAGTGGATGCCCTACTAATTATTCTGAAAACGTTATTCCCCGTTCACTCCTACCATAAACAATCGCAAACTGCCTATGCAACCGAGTCTAGTGTCCCCCAATGTCAATCAAATTAATGAACTCATGATTGCACCAGATTAACTGATTTTGCGTCACTGTACATTCCATCCATCGGCCATCATTTTATCCACAGTTATTTTCGTATACACTTGGTATTACAGTTCCCCGGAAATATCCTGCGTTGCTACTGTTCCCTGATGCAGCGTTGTAACTTTTATCCCAATATCACGCCACCTTTTCGCACAAATGAATACTCCGATGCTCCGGCTTCCCTAGATCCATCTGGTGTCCTGATTGAACCTAGAGACTGCTGTAATCTTCATCAATACAATCATTCTTCCGAAACCAGGTGAATCAAGTGATATGCTGGATCCACTCCTTTCAATAAGTACCCGACTGTGATAGTTGCTTTGAGTCCTACTGGGAGAATTCCCCACTGAAACATTCCTCTGCCCAGTCTTGTTGCTTGTTTGTCGGCCCATGCCCAAAGCTTTGAACTTATATCTCTGCCACTGCCGGCAACATTCCAACAGATTTCCACTCTACCTCAATGGAAGTAGTGTCACATTCATGTAGCAAAATACAGTAAGAATCATTGCAAAATCTGTTCGGTTCCAGTCGGTCTCTGCTTCACAACTTAACTGGCGCACTGTTACGTAGGTTGGATTTTCATGACACGAAACCATTATCGAATGTAAAACAGCGATTTCGTATTGATGGCGCTGCACTCCATAATGTTATACCGTGGTCCACCATGTGAACTTCCTTCCACACGTATGGAAATTTCCCTGTAAGCCTAATCGGTATCCTGCTCTAAATAACCGCTATCGACAAATGCGTCAACGGATAATCTTCAGCCTGCCATGCGCTCATCAAATGGCCTTTGTCTTCCTATTCGATGCCACACACGGTTTTGTCCCAACCCTAGCTGTCACACCTGCTCGCTTATTTTATGCAAATTGCACCATGGGTTAAATGTGCCCGACGATTTTCATTCACCACGTCACACACTCACCTGCCCCGGAGCAAACTATACCCAATGAAGCTAACGGTGTAACTGATGCATTATAGTACAGCGAACTTTGCAATGGAGGAAAATGTTTAACCCAACATAAGAGACTGTGAATTCGGTTGTGGAATCTGGCTTGGTAGTCTGTTTATTCATTCGCAACTAATGTAAATTTCCCTCAACAAGCAAACAATGTGAAGACCCGGATTTCCAGCACAGAGAGGGTAATGTTTAGGTATGCTGGTATTGCATTTCGTTATCCATTTGAACAGCATGCCTGCCAAATTCCGGTTTAGTAATTGTGTGTTACAAGAGCTTTGTGAGATTCATAAATTGTGCCCATTCTGACAACAAAAGGAAAATCGAGGAGAACTTTTGTTTCGATAATACTCACCACGTAACTAAATTTGTGATATTCACAATCATTTTAATAGAAGCCACTAATAGCGATGTATTGCTCTGTCGTAAATACTGCGACCGGACCGACAGAGGCAATCGGAATCCACTTGAATCCATTAACAAAACGGGCTAACGCGCTGTTTGAAATTTCGAAATAGCTCTCTCGCTATTTGGCTCCCGAAATAAACTTGGACTGATATTTTAAAAGAAACTGTGGAACGAATTTATTGTGTTCCGACAGTTAAATTATCACAGAACCCTAAGCATGCGGATTACTCGCCTCGGTTTTCGGTCCTAATTTCATATTTATCAACGCATGAGTTCGTTCCAAAATATTTTCAAGTTAGTTATTCATTTTAGTCCTACTAATTCACTGTGATTATTATTTTTCTTACTGTGGTTGCACATCGTATTGCATTTATTCTTGTGATTATTTATTCGTATTTCTCTGTCATACCTGCATCGCACTTTTGCATTTATATTGTTACTCCTGGGGTTTGACTGTTAGATATTAATTTATCTATTGCAAATGTTCCTTTTTCTAACGACCACGTTGATAACTAGAAATCCTAAAGATGGCGGTTATATACAAATGTGACGAGAAAATTACCTATGTGTGGAAGTATTTTTGTGAGTACTTTGGTTCGTCGCAGTCAGCCGACAATCCAGATACGTCGACCAGCTATCCGGAAAAGCACAAGACGGCCGTTTCGCCCTATTGGCGCTCGTCAGTGCTGCGCATACTTCAGTCCCCTACGGAGGATCGAACCCATGACTGCTAGTGGCTTGTGCCAGCTAGCACGCGGCTTATGCAACTGCGCCGTGGAGAACGGTAGCCGACCATCACGAATTGTAAGCTACCTGCGATATAGCCCGACCCATCCTCCACTGCCGTGCAGATGAGAGCGGTTGGCATTCCGGTGTCAGGATTTCCCGTTTACGGCAGCTAAGAATCGACATAGCATTTATGGAAACCTAATGGCGAATTTATATTACTCATGAGTATTTATGAGCATTATAAATTCGCCTTACGTTTAAATAAATTTTATATCGATTCATACCTGCCCGTAAACGGGAAGTCCTGACACCGGAATGCCAACCGCTGTCATCTGCATGGCAGGTGCCTGCATGGCAGTGGAGGATGGGTCGGGCTATATCGCGGGTAGCTTACAATTCATGATGGTCGGCTACCGTCCTCCATGGCGCAGTTGCATAAGCTGCGTGCTAGTTAGCACAAGCCACTCGCAGTCATGGGTTCGATCCTCCGTAGGGGACCGTAGGATGCGCAGCACTGACGAGCGCCAATAGGGCGAAACGGCCGTCTGGTTCTTTTCCGGATAGTTAGTTGACTTATCTGGATTGTCGGCTGACTGTGACGAGGACAGTTGTGGCGTTGCTGTAAAAGACGGAATTCAATGCGACATATGAATGTCCTGGTACCACAACAACTGTTATATGTTGGATCAGGTATCTAGTGATCTGTACACTCGACGTCCCTAATTTGAAGTGAATTTGATCCCACAGTGTACCTTTAGTGGACACTTGCACTCATCTTGTATGTGGTAGATTAGTTGATCCCATTTCGTACGCCACTAATGATCAGAACAACGATGAAAAACACTAGTTATATAGACTCACCCTTGTTGAAAATATGATGGGTAACCAGAGTTTACGCATTGATTCCTTGCATGCAGGAGTGGATGAATTGAGGTCACCATTGGGGGGTTGCGTACGCAATGCGGAACTCGCTATGGACAGACAAGTAGACATCCGTATTTACAACATGGAGGGGGCACTGCTACAGGAAGTTAAGACTAGACGTGATTAATAAAAGAGTCGGATATACGAAGTTCTTCGAATAGGCGGTCCCACGTTGAATTTTGGTATCAAATTTATAGATGGTTTGGCAATTGAAGGGAAACAGGGGCATTGCGCAACAATGACTTCCTAGGCCCATACTAGTAGAGTTCAAAAATCGTGTACACCGTGAGCTCTTACTAAACAGGACAAGGTTAGAGATGAGTCATAAAAGGTCAGGGATCAAGTTGTACCAGGCACGCTTATTTTGAAGCTTATACGCCCACGAACAAACAGACGTAATGGAACTGAGGCTAAATTATTTACTAAATCTACGACTGTCAAGAAGGTTCACGAACCTCATGTAACAATTAAACTTGCGGTGCTAGCATCAGGTTTATTTCCACCGCTGGCAATGGAAAATCGAAATGTCGTATTGGAAGTGGTATAAATTTTGCCACAATGCAGGCAGCTTGAGCCATCTGAAACCACAATCTCTATAGAGGTGGCGTCGCTATCTGCGGGAGTGGCGCACACTCCTGCCCCCCAGAGTACTGGTACGTTGAGAAGCGCGTAAAGTTGCGCAAGGTAAACAAACTGGTGGGAGAAACAGTAAGGTAACTGAGTTTACTCCACCACTAATTGAAAAGCTGGTAAAGGATCCTACTGTAAAAGCACGTAGGTCAATCCAAAAAACCGAACATATCCTGTGGGCGTCTACCCGAACCAGCCAGCGCTCCCGCGAAACTGGTTATTAGAGTAAGCAACCACTTAACAAAATGCGTTAACATACGAAATATCACCTCGGGTTCTTCGCTCTTGGGGTACTGTAAAACAGTTGCGGTAGACAGAGGGAATGTAGAGGGACTAAGTGTGTGGTGCACCAATAGTTGTAGCATAATGAATAAATGGGAGGAACTGGCGGTAGGCTGCAAGTTAGCTGATGTGATTGAGATTACTGAAACCTGGATGACTCAGGGTGTTACAGTCGGTGACTTAACGTCAAATATTCAGAGTAGAGATTAGATGGACCTAGATAGCAGGCAGGTGGTGGCGAACTTCTCCTTATACGCAGCCAATATGGAAATTGGGAAGCTCCGCTTCTTATGAAGACAAATGTTATCCAAGTTGTCTCTTGCTTTCCGTGTGTGGGAGGCCGGCTAGAAATAACAATCTGTGGGTACCGTAGCCCTTCCTCTACGTAAACAAAACATGTGGAACTTCTCAGTTTTCTCAAACAGGCAGCTGTTACTGCTCCAAAATTTGTGATCACTTTGGATTAACACATCCCACACACAGATTTGGAGCACGCTCCTAACACCGTGAAAAAACAAATTGTAAAATGGGTGCAGGGAAATGCCTTTTTCCAGTTGGTTAACGTTTCGACAAGAAAGCGTTCTGGTTGCGTTCCTTCAGCGCTAGATGTTGTGCTATACAAACATGGTCACTTGTCAAATGTGGAAGTTAAGGCTCCCATGGGTAAAACTGGCTAATGTGTCGTTACCCTCTTTTAAATACGAAAAGCCTCTCAGAAAATTACTGGCTTATGAAGAACGTTGGTCGCATCGACATAAGCGTGTTACGAGCTGAAGCACTGCAGCTCAGTTGCGTTCCTGAATTGGATCAGGCCACATTAGAACAAATATGGGGTCGGTCACGAGTGGGCTCGTTCAGCTATTAGATGAGTTCTCTCCTCTGCGCCCCAGACAACGCTCCTTTAACACAATATCGTTCTAGTTAAAAGCACATTTCTTGGGATAGGTTTCAAGTATCAGGAAATTTTCCCGTTGGCTGCAGTGTAAGAAACATCACAATGCAGCAACAAGCGAAGTATTATCATGAAGTCAGACTGGTCCAAAATCTAAAGGTAATATCAAATATGTATCATAGTTACGTTCAGTCCAAGTCTATTTTAAGGCGAGGATTTTCTAAGTTACTAGCCCATGACTTCGCTCTTCTTCTCCATCGACATGTATTTTTGCTGATGAGCTGAAGAACGTCAGTGT